TATGACTTGTCCAAAGTCACTGGCCCAGCAATATTAGCCAGGTACCCTCTCCCCTTGTGACACTCTTCGACTTGGACAGCCACGGGTGTGCAGAGCTGGGAGACGTGTCCTCAGGAGTGGTGAGCAACTGTGTCAATTCCATGCAAGACCCAGACATCCTCAAGTGCTTCGTGGGCCCACACAGGATGATCTCCAAGGTCCTCCAACCCTGCAGGCTGGCACTCTAGGATCGACGCGTACCTTGGGTGTGTTTATGAAGCTTTCCTGGTTAGGAGGCAGGCAGGGTGGCAATCACTCCGAATGCCAAGGATTTACAGCCCTATTTGGGCTATAAAGAATTGCTACTAACAGCTAATGATGCTGTGGTGTTTATAGGGGAAATGTTATAATTGTCATTTATTAAGATGGATATTATATTATATTTACATGCCATAATCATTTCAAAGTCTGATTACAATGCTTAAGTATCTTTGGCAGGATGCTAGCATCTTCCAGAAAGAAGTGACAGTAAATGAGATGACCCCCGGGTAAGCACCTGGCACAGAGCCTGCCCAGAGCAGGAAAGGCAGGCGATGGGGCTTCTTGGAGCCTCTGCGTTCCACAGGCAAAAGTCGGCAGGTGGCTGATCCTAAGAGCGCTAGACCTTGGTGGTGGGAACCCCCGCTGCCCTGCCTCTCCTGCCTTCCACACTCAGGAGCCCCTCAGGATCCCTGACCTTGAACAGGAATTCTGCTCATTCTGGGCCACAGTGGGCTTGGATGTGTTTTAAGTGTGTCCCCTAGTGGGTTGAAATCTTGGTCCCCAGTGTGGTAACGCTGAGATGTAAACCTTTAAGGGTCAGGGCCTGGTAGAGGTGGTTAGGTCATGGGGAAGCTGCCCTGGGAAGGAGTTAATAGAGGTCTCCTGTCTCTCTATGGCTTTGAGGCTCTAGGAACCTTATATAACTGAAATCACCCAGTAAGCATCCTTTGCTACTCAAAGTTCACCCATATTGTAGCAGGCATCTGAATGTCCTTCTTTTTAAAGGCTGACTAATATTCCATTGTATGGATGTTTTTTTCCAATTGTTTTATCTGTTCATCTGTCCAGGCACTGGGGTGCTTCCACTTTTTGGCTATTGGGAATAACAGCCAAAAAGCTGCTATGGTTCAATTCTTTTTAAGTCTTGTTCCTTATTTGCAAAGTAGTGTTCCTGTCCTCACGTTCTTATATGAGTGACTCTGCCTGCCATTTTCTTCACAAGCCCTGGGGGCCCGGAAAGCATCAACACAGCCTGTGTGGGGTGTGCTCCATGTCGACAGACTTCGGGGACTCAAGGTCACAGAGTCTTAGGAGCGCCCTTGCTAACCCAGTTTACAGAAGCAGAAAGAAACAATGACCTTGCCCAAGGTCGAGCAGCCAGTTGCTGGGAGGACTCAGCAGAAGGATCTGGAAAAGCTGACTCATTTTGGAGCCAGGCTTGTGACCAAGCTGCAGAGAGTCTGTGCCTTGGGTTTGTGGGGAAGGGGCCACCCTGCTGATCAGATCCAGTTGCCCAGGGAGGAGGGTGAGAAGCGGGCCTCGCAGACTTGCAGCTGCTCCGGCCGACTGAAGGCATCCCACCCCGGAAAGGTAGGTGCTCTTCAGTCCCATCTGTTGAGAAACAGAACAACCTACCGCGACACATCTTTTTTGAAAATGTGCTAGAAAAACACATTCTGTCTAGTTGACATGATCAAGAAGAAGATCAAACAATATCCAAAGAGAATCCTCCTCTTAATTTAAGGCAAAAAAAAAAAAAAAGCCGACACCCATCACCGTGTTCACTTCCACAGAGGAGTGGAGAGAAGGCTGGCCGCGTGGCTGTCAGGGAGAAATTGCTGCCGGTCTGTCCCGCGGGTGGCTCCACACGCAGGTCACGGGGACTCTTGGAATTTCTGCCTTGAAACCCTCTGGCCTCATTACCTCCGGGGCTGGCTCATGGCCCACGATTGCTACTGGTTCCAAGGTGGAGGTGCTCTGCGGAGGAGACCTCTCGGTGCCACTCCCAACTCCAGCCGGGCCTCCGCCAGGTTAGCGTGGGCTGGGTCGCTTGTAGCCGGCACCAGGCCTGGAGAAGTCAGTCAACTGGTACTTTGCCTCCAGGAAACAAGCAAACGAAACTAACTTCTTTTACTCTTGAGAGTGCTGGCAGCTCAGGTGAGAGCCAGGACGTACTTATGATTACTGTTGGTTTTCTGTGCAGGGAGAGGTGACAAAGCACTGGGACTTCTGGTGCCTGCCGACCACTCTTGTTTCCGGAGCGCCCTCTGCTCAGGCATTCGCACCATCGACTCTCCAACCTGAGCAGAGATCCTGCAGGGCCCGTCCCCAAGTTTGTCAGATGAGGAAACGGGGGCTCCAGTGGATGAGGGCAGAGGCAAGTAGGTGGCAGAGGCTGGCTGGAACCTGGCTCTGTCCCTGACTGTCCTGAGAGACCTTCAGAGCAGAGAGGCCCTGCTGAGACCCCGAGGGGGACACATGCAGGGGGACTTGGAGACCAGGATTGAAGCTGGGGGTATCTTAACCCGGGGACCCTAAAAGCCAACCGTGGGCTAGTATTCAGAGCAAAAGATTGATCATGAGGTGAACTCAGAGAATACTGACCCCCAAAGTCGCGTGCCTCCTAATTCCCAGACCTGGGAATATGTGGACGGCACATGGCAAAAGGGACTTTGCGGTTAACGTCATGGATCTTTTTTTTAAGCTGTAGATGGACACGTAGACCTTTATTTTATTTATTTATTTCTATGTGCTGCGGAGGGTCCAACCCAGTGCCTCCTACGTGCTAGCTAGGCAAGCGCGCCACCACCAAGCCCCAGCCCCAGCCCAGGGTCATGGACCTTGGGACAGAGAGGTCATGCCTTCACCTGGTCCTCACCTCAGCTGGCTGGCCACTGTCCCCCAGTCCTGGTCTGCCTGCTTCCCCAGCTGCTGCGTGTCCTAGCCCAACGGGCCCCCGCCTGCAGGAGCACGAGCCGCTGGCCCCTCTTTCCCCGTGGGCCGTGTTCAGGAACCTCTGCTGGGCTAACCTCTGCAGCTGGAATGCCCCCCATCTCTGCCGCACTCTTCTTTTCTCCGTGTGACTGTGTCCAGCAGCTTCCCGTGCCCACCCCCAGGCAGGTAAGAGGCCTCTCTCGCTTGCTTACTGCTACCCCTTCAGGCCCCCTTCCAGGTGCTGCCCCTGGAAGCATCTGTCCCACCCATCAGGATGCAAGTCCCTCTGGGGGGGGGAGTTTCTGGGCGTCCAGCCCAGGGCCTGGCACCCAGGGTGGCTTAGGGAAGGACGCTCCTCTGTGGCACCAAGTCATGGGAAAGGCACGCGCTGCTGCCCACAGCCCAGCCGTGGCCTCTCCGCCTGGCTATTTTTATTCCTTACCCTGCAGAGCAGAGGCCTGTGGGGCAGGTTCTCAGATGGAGCCAGGGAAACCTGCCAGACAGACCGGGGCCACTTGCTGAGGCTGCCCGAGCCAGGCCCGCAGGAGCAGCCCAGGCTCCTCCTCTCCAGCAGCCAGAGAGCTGTCCCTGGAGCCCAGGTCTGCCTCACTCTTGCTGTGACCTGGGGCAAGCCACGTCCCCTTTCTTCTCTTCCTCTGTCAGGAGGGTGGGGATTGAGCTCTGGTAGCCACTTTGAGGATCAAATGATAAATCACGGAGTCTGATTCTAATTTAAGCTTCAAACAGGTAAAATAACCACATGATTCAAAATTAAAATGCAGAAAGGAGTGTTTCCTGAGTGCCAACCCAGCCCGTGACCCTGCAGCATCCGGCCAGCTGTGCTTTGGGACGTTAGCCGGTGCACCGTTCTCCTAGGGAGACAGGTAGGTAGGTGGATAGATTGGCCCACTCATGGGCACCAAGCACCTACTTGGTGCTATATGCTCTGACCCATAGTTGGAGCTCAGAGGTGGTCATGCTTATGTGACACCTTCAACATCCTCAGCTTCTTATTTCCAGCTTCGACAGCCAGCTGATCATTGAGTGAGCAGCTCATAGACACCGTGCTGTGTTCCTCATAAATGTGTCCCCCATTTTATGGATAAGGAAACTGAGTTTCAGAGAGGCTGACTTGGGCAAAGTCACACAGCTGGCTGGTGGCAGAGTTAGGAGTCAAGGACAGGTTTTGGACCACCAAACCTGCTTGGCTTCATTCCTGTGGCTGTGTGTGATGACCCAGAAGACTGAAGCCTGCTCGATATAGTGTCACACATTTGCAATGCCAGCAACTCGGGAAGCTGAGGCAGGAGGATCGCAAGGTCAAGACCAGCCTCAGTGACTTAGCAAGACCTTGTCTCAAAATTTAAAAATAAAAATTAAAATAACAGAAAAGGGTCCAGAGATATGGCTCAGTGGTAAAGTGCCTCTGGGTTCAATCCCCAAGTACCAAAAAAAAAAAAAAAAAAAGTGGGGGCTTTCTCCAGGATCACTGCTGGCACCTCCCAGGATGCAGGCAGGAAAGTCAGGTTGAGCTGTCCCTGTGAGGGCCCCCCACCAATGGACACGCAGTAGTGGGGACAGTGAGAGCCCTGCCTCCTACTACCTGATGGACTGCCCTGTCCAGATATGAGGGCCCCACTCCAGGCAGCTCACCCCACAGAGTTTCCCAATATGCAGAGAGACCAGGGCCTTGTCCTAAGTCACACAGCATGGGAGTGGCGGGCCCAGAACTGGAACGTGGTTATGCCCTGCCCTGCTCTGCCCTCCGAAAGGGTGGCCCACCTGCACCTTGTCAGGGCACCCCAATGCATCACTGGCATTCCTGCTCTTGGGACTGGCAGGGACACCCACAGCTTATTCATCTCATGGTCCCATTCATACTACCACTGGCCCACGGCTCTGGGACAAGGCCTAGAACAAGGTTGGACCAGGGCCCAAAAGATCCTTTAACTCCTCTGACACAACATCATTATGACCTGAATCCAGACTCATAAGAACTCATTATGTCTAAATTCTACAACATGTTGTACTCCCTCATGAAGAGGAGGCCCTGCTCTAGGAATCAGGAGGGTTCTTTGAATTCAGGTTGTCCCATGTATCAGCTGGGTGACTCTGGGCAAGTTGTTTAACTTCTCTGAGCCTCAGAGCCTCTTCCTCATCTGTAGGCTGAGAGTATTAATATCTACCGTCCAGGCCACAGGGAGGGTGAAGTCAGAAACTGCAGGTAGAAGCGTCTGGCAGATAAGGATGATGTCACATTAGCCACACAACCCAAACACACTGGACCCCCTTCCGGGCAGGTGTTGTGCTGGGCTCTCGCTGCTCCCTCTGTGGAAGGCAGCGCCATCTGAGTGGCCACTGCAGCTTGCTCGGAGTTCTCTCTCCTCCTCTGCTGCGGCTCATCAGCTGACACAGGAGATGCTTGTGTATCTGCTCCTTTCCATTCTGCAGGGCGGGCAGGGACTTTGTCCCTCTGTACCCTACTCTATCTCCAGCACCTGGAGCTGGCCGGTGAGCTGTCCCCTTGGGAACCAAGTAGGGAGGCATCTTTCGTCCATCTTGTGGACAAAGAAGCAGAGGCTCAAAGAGGAAGGGGCCTTCCCCAGAGCCAGACTGCCTGGACCCAAGGCCTGGCTCCCCAGTCACCCTGTGCATGACCTAAGGCAAGTCCCTTCAGCTCTCGGCCCTTGGTTTCCTTATCTGTGTTAGAAGGAGCTGCCTGGTGGGGTTGTCCTAAGCATTAAATGAGCCTCATCCTGTGACGCGCTCTGCGTGGTGCAGATGGCCAGCTCTGCACAACCACAGTGACACCAAGGAGCAGAAGATCCAGAGAGAAGAGGCTCAGTCACCGACATCTGTGGACTCCCCCGAGCCCCACTCTGCGTGAGCCTCACCAGGTAAGCCAGGCTGAGTGGTGGGCTCCCGAGGTAGTTGGGGTGTTGAGGTCTCCATCCTGGGCAGGGCCAGGCTGGAGCTCTGTTATCAGCACCACCTTCAGTTCCTGGAAGTGGGTGCGCCCACAGGGCCCGCGTGCACCCCGTCGCCGTCTGGGTCCACATTGGCTGCAGCAGCTGTGGCCCAGGTTGAGTCCCGGCAGCGACGGTTGTAGCCGGGCAGGAGCTCTGTAGGAGGGGAGCGGGGCACAGGGAGGCAGCCACCACCTGGAGGCTCCTGGCTGCTCAGCCCACCTGGGCAGCCCCCATCCCAGCTCCCAGAGGGCCCCTCTACCCCACTCTGGAGGGCTGACTCTTGACCAGAGTCAAGGGAACTGATGGCAGTTCTAGGTGCCAGGCTGTATTTACCATGAGCCAAGGATCTGGTGGGCAGAGAAAAACTGTCCCGTCCATGGTGACTGTTCTCCAGGGCAAGATGGAATTCTGGTTAAGAGCGTGGATGTAGATTCCCAAGTCCCCTGGAATCAGACCACTTTTGAGAGCCTTGGGATGAGCTTCGGCAAAGCATCTGTGCATATGATCGAAGACCTATCTTTGCCACTTGCCCTGTGGGTGACATTGGGCACCTGAGGACCTCAGTCTCCTCATTTGCAAAGTGGGCATAGCACCAGTTCCTCTTCGCCGTCGAGGTGATAAAGAAGGGGTGTGTGAAGCAGGAAGGGGCAGCCATCGACCATTCCCCTGGCGTCCCTGGGTGGGCTTCGAGCGGCTCTGCCGGGGCGGGGCTTTCAGAGGCTGCCCGCTGGCCATGATTGGCTCCCTCTGCTCACCAGGAGGAGAAGACCCCAGGAGGCACCGCCCCGACCCCTCCAGTTTCCCCAGCACTGGGCCAGCACCAGTGAGTGGAGGGTCCAGAGCGTGACCGTCAGCGGCAGACCCCTCTTGGGGCCAGGCACTGAGCCAGTGCCCTGGGAGTCAGGGCTGAGCCTGATGCTGCCTCCACGGGGTGAGGTTGGGCAGGACACGCCGTCTCCCTGCGCCTACTTCTCTCCTCCCAGCCACACCGAGGGCTGAGCCTCCCCTGCTCCCGGAGGTAGCCGCCCTTTCTCTCCCAGACTTGAGTTCCAAGGCACAGAATCCCCAGAGTTGACCCTGAGAAAGAGGCCGAGCACCCAGGAAGATGGGGGGGGCCTGATGAGGACACCTCAGTCGTGCCAGCCGAGAGACCGGGGGACAGAGGGAAGGATGGCTCCTTCACCCCCACTGGTCACCTGACCTGACAAGCTCTGGGTCACAGAAGGAGAAGCCTCACAGGCCCACGGTCACCTTGGGTGGGGGCCATGAGTGGGGACAATGCCCCTCGAGTCCTGAACATGGGCTTTGCCTTGTTTGTCCCTTGTGGTCTATTCCTGCATCCCTATAGAATGAGCAGAGCCGGGGTCCTTGGGGCAGGGGGGAGGGGGCTAGGGCAGGGGAAGGACTCCTGGGAGGGCTGGACAGGGGCCTCTGATGGGGAGGGGAGGAAGGGCCAGCGAGGGAGGGAAAGGAGGTCTCAGTGCCAAGTGGGCTGAGAAGGGCCAGTGCTGGACAGCCCTCCGCTTCCCATGGGCCCCGGTGCTGTCCCACACGCCTTCCATTCTGGGCTGTGGACACGAGCCCATGCGCACACTCAGCCAGGGGCTCCCAGCTGGATCTGAGCCCAGGCCTAGGATCCTGCAGCTGGGTGACCTGCTCCCGCCAGGCAGCTAAGGAGCAAGGAAAGAGTGGGCTCTGACTGCACAGGCCAGCTCCCTGCTCTGGGCGAGGAGACTGGCCACCCCAATCTCACTCCGAAGACAGTGACCAAGGCTGTGGAGAAATCACACCAGTGGGGACCTCAAAGAGAGGCAAGAACCCTTTTAAAGTGCTGTGCTGTCAGTGTCAGGGGTCTGCTTAGCCAGGGGCCAGCCCCATTTACTCACCCACAGGAATTCAGGTGCTGCTGGGAGGATACTTTGTAGCTGTGGTTAACATCACCGTCTGTTGAAAAGCCAAGGAGATTGTGCTTGATGTTGGTGGGCCTCATCTGAGCAGTCGAAGGCCTGAAGAACAATACTGAAGCTTCCCTGAGAAGAGGAGCTTCTGCCTGAGAGGCTCCAGCTTGCAGGCCGCCCTGCAGACCGGCAGCCCTGTGAGCCAGTTCTTCAACATCAGCAGTGCTTCCCTGTAGGAGCCTGCGGGGCACCAGGAGAAAGCTGACATGCAGGCCTCTCCCCCTGATTTCCCTCTCCGCTGGAGTCTATGATGAGCTAGACACTGTGCTAGCCCCAGGAATGTAGTGGACTCCTCACTGAGTGTGGGAACAGTGACATTAAAAGGTAAATGCACACCGTCCACCTCGGTTTGCATGCTCACCGTGTACTGCAGGGTCACCACAATGCATGCAGTTGGCTCACATGGTTAACAAGACCTGCTTGCACACAGCTCGGAGTTCAATGATGTCACACTGGCCACTTGACGTCAGCTGTGGTAGGAGCATTTGCAGAATCAGCAATTGGCAGAATCAGCAATCCGGGCTTCCCAGCTGTTACGGTCTGGAGGTGAGGTGTCCCCCAGAAGCTCAGGTGTGAGACAGTTCAAGAAGGTTCAGAGAGAAGTGATTGTGTGGTGAGAGTCTTAACCTAATCAGAGGATTGATCCCCTGTTGGGATCAACTGGGTGGTGACTGAGGCAGGTGGGGGTGTGGCTGGAGGAGGTGGGCATTGGGGACGTGGCTTTGGGGATAGATTTTGTCATGGTGAGAGCTCTCTGCTTCATGGTGGCCATGTCCTGAGCCGCTTCCCGCTGCCACACTCTTCTGCCATGATAGTCTCCTCACCTTGAGCCCTAAGGGATGGAATCTGCTGTCTCCAGACTGAGACCTCTGAAACTGTGAGTGACAAACTTTTCCTCCTCTTTTGGTCCCAGTGTTGACTACAACAGCAGCTGAGGCACACACCATGGCCGTGAGTGAAAGTACCCAGGGACCCCCTTAGGTGGGGGGTTGGAGGAATCGGGAAGGCTGTCCTGCTAGAGGGGGAGGGAGAAGGGAGTGCAGGTGGCCAAGGAGAGAGGAGGGCCTGTCACTGTCCTCCTAGGGGCTTCTGGGGCGGGGCTGGGGCCAGTGCTGTGTGTCTCTTGTCTATGTCCCTTCTCCTCCCACATGCACACGAGCCCCTTGACCCCAGGCTCGGCACCGTGGCTCAGCCCGCAGAGGCGAGGGTGAGGGGCAGGCCTTGGGGTCAGCAGGGCAGCCTTCTCTAAGTCCGGTAGGAAGCCACGGGACACAGGCGTGAGCAGATTGATACTCTAAACTTCACTGAGGCTGCCACAGGGGAAGCGGGGAGCCTCGGGCATGAGGGGACGGCGGTGACTGGCCGAGACTGGCCGCAGTGGAACGAGCATCCCGTCTGGATTAGAGATACATCCAGAGGTTCAGCTGGAAGGGCGTGCAGATGAGAACGAAGAATGAAGAGTGACATACTTTCCTGGCTAGAAACTGGGGACAATGGTGCACTGACAGAGCCGGGAGGATGCTGGGGACAGGCTAGAGTGGGCATCAAGTTCTGAATAGGGGTAGAAATCTAAATGCATTTTTCTTGAGGCAGATAAAGGGTTAAGCCACCAGGCATCTTTGGGCTAGTGGCGCTGGCTTGGGATCAAGGACAAATAACATCTCTCTGATCTGCCTTCCTAAGTTCTGACCTCTAACCTTGGGGTTACTTCACAGCTCAGAATAATTGCTGGGGCTCCAGTGATCATGCTTCCATCTTAGGCAGAAAGTAAGAAGAAATGGTTAGAAAGGGCTTTCACCAGCTCTGAACTCTGTTTTGTCTTTGAATATATGTTGTTGAGGATTAAACCCAGTGCTTCAAGCACACTAGGCAAGGCTCTAAATCACGCCCTGGCCGGTCTCTTAATGATCTTTCAGCAAAGATCCTCTCCAGCTCCCATATCTCATTGGTTGGAATGCAGTACCGTGCCACACCAGGCGGCAAGGGACCCTGTGATGTGTTGTCATCCAGCAGACCCTTTTCTGCCCAACTGGTTTCAGGGGTCACTGGAAGGGACGACAGGAGCCACAGAAGGGGAGTGACCACCACCTGTGCTGCGCTCTCTTCTTGCTATTCTCTCCCTGGCCCACCCTCTCCCGGCCCCTCTGGGAGGCACACTGTGAACCTGCACAATTCCCAGCCCTTCACAGTCGGACCTCGCCCCCACGCCCGCCTCTCCCTGTCTCCGCGCCCGCCGTGGTCCTTGTATTCTGGCTCCAGACAGTTTCCATTCCTAGTGGAAGTCACATCATGGTGACTCCGTGTCCCGTCCCCTCTGCTGGGTTCTGGCAGTGCCTTCTAGAACAGCGTGTGATCCTGGGGAGAGTTAGGGATATTAGAAAGGCAGCTCTGTTCATGGCTGGGCCGTTGCCACTGCTGTCCTGAGAGGCTCCCCTGTGGTTTTCCTGGGGTTCCGAGAGGTCAGGGTGCAGAGTACTGGGCCACCACCTCTGGGAGAGGGGACTGCTGGCCACATGGTCCCAGGAGAGATAGAAGTTAATAAAACTTGGCAGCAGATAAAGGAGCCTTCCCTTCCTTCGCCCCTCCCTCCTTCCTTCCTTCCTCCCTTCCTTCCTCCCTCCCTTCCTTCCTCCCTCCCCTCCTTCCTCCCTTCCTTCCTCCCTCCCTTCCTTCCTCCCTCCC